GAAAAAGAACACCAGAGACTGATTTAGGAATTAAGGTGCTTCTCGCCTTTTAAAGAAATATTTTGTCACCCCCCCCCCCACTCAAAAAAGAAAGAAAATACTGTGTCTTCCTCAAAAACAGATGCTACCTGTCTGGAACACCAAGGGCCTGGTGCATATGTCCTCAGAAGTTTTTGTCCTTAATCCCCAATAATCTATAAACAGACAAATAGGTGTATCAGAGCAATTTTCTCAAAACTTGGTCACTGAAACCATGTCATAAATGGCTCGGGCCAGCCTACATACAAACCTACTTCAGCCATTGTGTACTTAAACTCTAGCACCAACAGCAGCCACCAGTGCTTCTGATCTCTCATCCCTAAGGGTTTTCGAGGTCTGAGAGATGTCACTTCACCTATTTTCACTGAGGAAATTAAAACAATCACGAGCACTTCTGCAGATTCCCACCAGCACATCTACCTAATACTGTACCTACATACTCTGCCTTCAAGCTTGTTACACCTGGGAAGAACTCTCTGCTTTTGCCTAAAGCTACCCCTGTACTGCACACTTTCCCCAACCATCTCTCACCTACTGAAAAACCTAATTTCAGTAGTTCTTCCTCTTAACTTGAACACTTCCTTGCATGCACAACTGTTATGTTCTATATCAGTGATTTTCAACTGGTGTGTAAGAAGCATTTTTTAAAACATGCAACACCTGACTAGTCAGGGGCACTGACCTCTTTTCCTCTAGACTGTCAAATAAAAAGTGACAATAGCCAAAACAACAATAGCTGTCTGGTGTCAACAAATCAAAATTAATATCTATTTCTTGTCAGATTGGCAAAAGATATATTTTTTGGTGTGCTGCAAAATTTTAGTAGTTGGTTTATGTGTGCCATGAGATGAAAAAAAGTTGAAAATCACTGTTCTGTGTTAACAAGTATGCATACATATTCGTTATTTCTTCCATCTTAAAGAAAAGACCTCTTTCCCTCACTTTGTTAGACTGTTCCTACTCCATTTCTTTGTCCTGACCCATGGCAATGTAGCTTTTGCTATCACCATTCCCCGCAAACTACTCATCCAGATTACCAATAATCACATTGCTAAATTCAGGAGTCGATTTACAGTTAGTCCTCTTCTTACTTCAGCATCATTTTTATACCACTGAAATTTTCTTTCTCCTAGAAATGCTTTTTTTCTTTAATTTCTAGGTTACTACAGACTCTTGGTTTTCCTCTTTTCTCCATGGCAGCTCTTCCCAGTTCTTCTGCTAGTTCTTCCCTCTCTATTTGACTTCTTAATACTGGAATGCTTCAAGGCTCAGTGCTTGTTGCTGTTCTATCAACACTCACTCCCTGGGTTGGGGTGAAAGCTATCTATATGCCAATGACTCCCACATATGTCTTCAGTCCTAAACTTCTCCTCAAACTCCAAACTCACATAGGCAACTGTCGGTTCAATATTTCTATTAGGATATGTGATAGACACCTCAAACTTAAATGTCTAAAACTGCACTCGTTATCTTTTTCCAAAAATCTGTTCTAAACCTGCGGATTTATGGCAAACTTACCCTTCCTACTGTTTGGGCCAAAAAACCTGGAGGCACCCCCAATTCTTATCTTTCTCTCACACCTCATAGTCACTCCTGTTGGCTTTACCTTCAACATTCATACACAATCCAACCACTTTTAACCACCTTAAGGGCTATCATTCTGGTCCAAGTCACCACCATCTCTCAAGGATTATTTGAAACTATTAAAGTCTCCTAATTGCTATTCCTGTTTCTAACCTTCTTTTCTCACAGTATATTCTAAAGACAGCAACCACAGTGCCCATTTTTGCTTTAATCTTTTACTATGGAAATTAAAAAACCTATATAATAGCAAAGAGAATATTATAATAAATCCCATATAACCATCATCCAGCTTCAATAATTATTAGTGTATGATCAACCTTGTTTTATTTTTAACCCCCATACTACCCTGTCCTCAAGATTATTTTGAAGCAAATCTTAGACATCCAATCATTCCACATAATAATCCCTTAGCAACATAAATCAAATCATGTCACTTGCCTGCTCAAAACCTGTCAATTCCCATCCCCCACTCCTGCATCCCTGGGTTAAACTCAGAGTAAAATCAAAAGATCTTATATGGGCCCTGGAAAGCCCTACAGCAGGGGCTGGCAAACTATGGCCCAGAGACCAAATGCAGCCAGCTGCCTGTTTTGGTGTGGCCACAAGCTAAGAATGAGAGTTAAGGATAGTTAGAGGGAAAAAATAAAAAGAAATATTGTTTCATGATACATGAAAATAAAATTTAGAATCCACAGATGAAATTTTATTGGAACATAGCCATGTTTATTTGGTTAAGTATTGTTTATGGTGGCCTTTGTGGCAGAGTTGAGTACCGCATTTTTGGACTATAAGACGCGCACCCCCTATTTGGGAGGAAAAGAGGGGTGCGTGTTATAGTCTCAAAAATACAGTAGTCATGACAGAGACTGTGTAACTTGCAATATTTACTATCTGGCCATTTATAGAAAAAAAATTGCTAACTCCTGCCCCAACCAATCAAGTCCTCATGTAATCTCTCTCTTTCCACACACTCCATTCCAGTCTCATTGGCTTTTCCCCGTTACTCAAACAGGTTAGACACACTCCTACCTCAGGGGCTTTGTTCTGGCTGATCCCTCTAGCTGGAACATTTTTAGCTAAAATATATGCATAATTTTCTCTTACCCTCAAGTCTCTGCTCAAATGTTACCTCTACAACAAGTCTTACCCTGACCACTCCATTTAAACTTGCAATGCATGCTTACTGTCCTACACTCCTCCTTTGCTTATGATACTCCATATATTTCCTTTCCATAGCACTTACCACCTTCTAATGTGCTGTTTAATATCTGTTGTATATTATCTATTTCTCCCAGCTAAAGTGTAAGTTGCATGGTGCTAGTTCATTTATAAATCTAAAGTGCCCAGAACAGTGAGTGTCTGGTATACAATTAGGCAATCAAATATTTGTTGAATAAATTTAATTCCTTATAATAAAAATTTTAAGAATCTTAACTTGGTAAGATCTTTAATAAATGCAGAATTTAAACTCTAAATATAATAAAAATAAGAACCATTACCCTGAGAATGAAAAACCTACTCCAGAATGTTTCATCCATCCATTAATCTAATATTTATTGTCTGTTTGCCATGTTATGGGTGTGGGGGATCTAAGGATGAAACAGTCTGAGCTTACAGTCTACTAGGAAAGATAAAACTCACAGATAAATAACTTTAAGAGGGTAGAATGCAGTAATGTGGGGCTGTAATGCAAACTCAGGTCTGTTAAGGTCAAAGCCATGCTGCCAGTTACTAAATTGTTGTAAAAAAACAAAACAAAACAATCCTTTAAAGCAGCAAAAATAAGGGGAAAATGCAGATATTGCAATAAGAAAAATAAGTGAATCAATGAATATAAATTCAATGTGATATTACAAAACAACTAAATAATGAAAACATAGAAAATATTTCTTAGCTTGAAGAATGCATATTATAAACTAATCTATGATATAATACATTTATTCAATAACACTAATTGAGTACTGACAATGGGCAGGCACTCTTCATTATGCTAGGGGAAATTCACAGAAGAATGATGACCAACCTTGGCCCTCAAAAGGCTCATATATGGAGAGCAACCAGGAGAGAACTTAGAAAAATATAAACAGGCAATATGTTAAGGTAGCAGACCCTGTGGGAATAGTTTTCCTTTATAATCACTGAAGTGCTGTAGTTAAAATAAATGAAATCAGTAGGAGAAAGTTTAAAAAAGCAAGATGAAATATCTAGTTGTGTCAGATATAAAAATGAATTTAAAAATTTAAAAGGGCCTTTGGGGTCCAGACTGTGGTTGTTAAATACCATTTCCCAGTAAAAGAACCAGCATTACTTGGAGGAGTGGCTGATCGCAGATGTGGAGCAAGAAATCTATAAGATGAGCCACATAGCAAGGAACCTCATGAAACACCTAGAGCACAGGTGGCAAACATAAGGCCTGTGGACCAAATCCCGCCCTCCATCTTGTTTTATCTGGCCTGGCACCGTGTTTCTACCCAGTGGCAGCGACGAGCTCCTTGCCCATGGTTAAGGAGTAGTTACATTTATACAGTCCTGAAATTACATTCAGCCCTTGGAAGGCAACCACAGGGCTGATGGGGTCCTCGGTGAAAATGAGTTTGACACCCCTGACCTAGAGCCACTACCTGTAAGCTATGATATCATATGGCTCCTTTTCTGTGAAAGAAGGTCAACAGACAAATCTAACTCCCATCAGCCTGTAGCTTCTATGCAGGAGGTCTGCAGAGTGGAAGGGTCAATCCTTCTGCTTCTGCTGGAGATAAATGGCCTCTCTCAGTCCCATCTATCTACTGCCCCCCCCCCGCAAATGCTACTATTATGTGTACCAACTACTACTTTTACTTTAAGCAGCTGAATTCCTGTGTCCTAGATGTCTCAGAAAACTTTACTGGCACTAACTACCATATGCAATAAGTGTGCCTATGAGAAAGGCTTTCAAATCTACCCACCAGTAATTATTCATTCAGAGGCACAGTTCCCTACCAAAATGAGCTGCACTTCATCCAGCAACAGGGGAGCAGAATCTATCCATAGTCAATGGGTGAGCTAAACAAGAACACAGGTCTGGTTGTTTTAGAATAATGGCTTGTTCTCACCCAGTACGGTGTCATTTAGCTTCAGAACTCAATTCATCAAATCTGACAGCAAAGGATGGAAATTAACTACCCCTATGGAAACCAAAAATAATAAGCTGAAGAGTTCAGATACAACATTCCATTCCCACAAAAAAGGTTCCAGAAATGGTCTGTATAATGGCAGAGCCCTGGGAGTAAGTGGAAGACTTCCTGAGTAACGTTTCAGTTAACAGGATGCTCTCCCTGGGACGTCAAGTCCAGCCAATTTGGAGTTAGACCACTCTACCACTTCTCATGGGAACTTACCTGAATGCAAGCCCCTGTCTTCACTTTGCACAGGTAGCAGACTAAGGCCCACCGACTGGGCGGGATGTGAGAGATCTTTGTGATTGGCTCCATCCTCTCAGGACAACCAATGCTGACCTACAAATAAAATACCACCATAAATCAGAGGCACCAAGGCATTCCTGAAGTACCTTTCATAAACCATAAATGAAGTTACACGAAGCTCAGAACATCAACACAATGAGGTGAGCCATGTCTCTTAAGGTTACTATGGAACCAAGAATAACTAAAACTCATCTCTAGCTATTGCTCAGATCCTCAATCATTTCCAGTAATGTAAATGATTCATATACAGGATGAAAGGGTAGGGGTTAAGACTAAGCATGATTACCTTAATGAATCAAGGACATCTGTACTTTACTTAAGAAACAAAGAAAGCTACTAAGGAAGGGGATTAAAATTCACATAATCTAGCACTTATCATGTTAGAGATGGTGCCATATGCCTTTTTGTTTGTTTAATTAACTAAGAATAAAAAACAAAGGCAGCGACAAACCTTTAAATTTGGTTTACAAAGAAGCATGGTATTGTTGCAAAATAGCAGCAATTTGTATAATAAAGAGATTGCAGCACATAAATAGAAAGGGTAAGGATAATGAAGTCTTTAAAAACACATATCTATCATCATCTTACTTTACTCTCTCAGTCAAAGTAGCTTCAAAGTGGAATTGGTCTTTGGGAGAGTGCTGAAAGGAAAAGGATGTTTTTAAAAAGATGAAATTTTTTTTCCATATGAAAATAAGAGGTGAGGTATAAAACTCTGGTAAAAAGTGTTTTCTCTTTCCTCCTTTTTTTTTTTCAAAAGTTCAAATATGTAATAGTACCTAAGAGAGACACAACTTTAAAAAGTGAAAGACTATTAAACCAGTACAAGTTCTGACCACATCAAGAAACAGTAGAAAGATCAAAGATCTTGAATAGCCCAAAAGGTACTGGAAATCAGGTACCAGTAGAGAATGTCAACAGGTGAGAAGGCTTCTTTTACTTTTAAAGAACTCTTCCTGACTTTTACATACCAAGAGTGCCAGCTCCACTAGCTGGGGGATTTGCTGCTGGAAAATAGTCACTCTCAGACAGAAACCCGAGAGTTCATTTCATATATCTATAAACTGGATATTCTTAGTAAGGAAAAAAACCACTACTCAAATATTTTTAAAAATAACTTTATTCTGTAAGAATACTACAGTATGTACCTACAACTTTCAGTTTAACTCTGTGAGCTCAATTTTTGGGTACCCCCCCCGGAACTACATTAACAAGAATAAAGCCAGGGGGACTTCTGGCCCAGATGGAGGTGTAGGTAGATAGACTCCACTTCCTAGCACAACCAAAAAAAGGATAACAACTAATTTAAACCAAAAAACAACCAGAACAGCCAAAAAATCGAGCTGTATAGAAGTCTGACAACCAAGGAGTTAAAGAAGAAACATTTATCCAGACTGGTAGGAGGGGCAGAGAGGATCTGTAGTGAGGCAGTGGCTGGGGGACTGGGAAGTCCCACATTTGTGTGCAGATAAGCTGGGAGGAACAACTCGAGAGCAAGACAGATGGCATAACCCAGGGCTCCTTCCAGCAAGGGCAAAATAAAGCCTCACAACCTGCTGTAAAAATCTGTGGGAGTTGCAGCAGCAGAAGAAACTGTCAGTCTCATGGAAGAGTCTATTGAAGGGACCCACAGGGTCCTAGAACGTACACAAGCCCACCTACCTGGGAATCAGCACCAAGGAAGCACCTAGAAGGGTGCAATTACTTATGGCAAGTGGGGGAAGTGACTGAAAGTGGAGCAAGAACTGAGCAAATGGCACTGTTCCCTCTCTGAGCCCTCCCCTACATATAGCCACAATGCAGTAAAGTGGGTTGCCCTGCCCTGGCAAATACCTAAGGCTCCGCCCCTTATAATGTAACAGTTCCTCTGAGACAAAGAAACATGGCCCAAATGAAAGAACATATTAAAGCTCCAGAAAAAAAACTAAGTGATGAGGAGATAGACAACCTATCAGATGCAGAGTTCAAAACACTGGTAATCAGGATGCTCACAGAAATGATGGAGTATGGCCACAAAATAAAGGAAGAAGTAAAGGCCATACAAAGTGAAATAAAGACAAACATACAGGGAACCAACAGTGAAGGGAAGGAAGCTGGGACTCAAATCAATGATTTAGAACAAAAGGAAGAAATAAACATTCAACCAGAACATAACTCAGAAAAAAATGAGGAAAGGCTTAGGAACCTCTGGGACAACTTTAAACATTCCAACATCCGAATCATAGGGGTACCTGAAGGAAAAGAGCAAGAAAATGAAGACTTACTTGAGAAAAAAAAATGAAAGAAAACTTCCCCAATCTGGTGAAGGAAATAGACATATAGGTCCAGGAAGCTCAGACAATCCAAAGAAGATGGACCCAAAAAGGAACACACCAAGACATATCATAATGAAATTGCCAAAGATTAAAGATAGGGAGAGAATCTTAAAAGCAGCAAGAGAAAAGGAGATAGTTATCTACAAAGGAGTTCCCATCAGACTGCAGCTGATTTCTCAAAAGAAACCTTGCAGGCAAGAAGGGGCTGGAAAGAAATATTCAAAGTCATGAAAAGCAAGGACCTACATCCAAGATGACTCTATCCAGCAAAGCTATCATTTAGAATGGAAAGGCAGGGGCCTTCCGGCCAAGATGGAATCATAGGTGGACACGCTGTGCCTCCTTGCACAACCAAAATTAAGGACAACAAAAATTTAGAAACAAAAAAACAACTAGGACAAAATTGAACTGTACAAAAGTCCCAACAACCATTCATCCAGACTGGTAAGGGGGCGGAGTCCGCAGCCCGAAAAGAGGGGTCGCGGCAGGAAAAAGTGGTGGCTGGCAGACCAGGGTGTGCAGGGCACGGGTGGTGGCTAACAGACCCCGATGGCAGACCCCGGGCACGGGGAGGCAATGAGAAGACTCATTGAGGTGCGCAAGGCAGCTAGCTGTCTGCAGTCACACATTCACAAGCAAATAAACCAGGTGAAAACAGGTAGTGAGACAGACCATGCAACCCAGGGCCCCAGCACTGGGAAATAAAGCCTAAAAGCACTGATTGAAAACACCTATGGAGGTTGAGGTGCCGGGAGAGACTCCCAGCCTCACAGGAGAGTTCGTTGGAGAGACCCACAGGGTCTTAGAATGCACACAAGTCCACCCAACCAGCACCAGAGGGGACCAATTTGCTTGTGGGAAGCAGCAGAGGGGGCTGAAATCTGACAGAGGAGCAAGCGCCATTGTTCCCTCTCTGACCCCGCCCACACATACATCGTCACAACCCAGCGACTGGGTTGCCCTGCCCTGACGAACACCTAAGGCTCTGCCTTTCAGACATAACAGGCACAACCAGACCCCCCTCCCCCGAAAAAAAGGGGCTCAAATGGAAGAACAAATCAAAGCTCCAGAGTCAATACTTTTAAGCGACCAAGAGATAGCCAACCTATCAGATGCAGTTCAAAGCACTGGTGATCAGGATGCTCACAGAATTGGTTGAATTTGGTCACAAAGTAGATGAAAAAATGAAGGCTATGCTAAGTGAAATGAAGAAAAATGCACAGGGAACCAATAGTGATGGAAAGAAAACTGGGACTCAAATCAATGGAGTGAACCAGAAGGAAGAAAGAAACATCCAACCAGAAAAGAATGAAGAAACAAGAATTCAAAAAAAAAAATGAGAGGCTTAGGAACCTCCAGGACATCTTTAAATGTTCCAACATCCGAATTATAGGGGTACCAGAAGGAGAAGAGGAAGAGCAACAAGTGGAAAAGTTATTTGAACAAATAATAATAAAGCAGGACTTCCCCAATCTGGCAAAGGAAATAGACTTCCAGGAAGCCCAGAGAGTCCCAAAGAAGTTCGAATCAAGAAAGCACACACAAGGGCACATCATAATTACATTACCCAAAATTAAAAGGAAGGAGAGAATTCCAGAAGCAGCAAGAGATAAGGGGACAGTCACCTACAAAGGAGTTCCCATCAGACTGTCAGGTGATTTCTCAAAAGAGACCTTACAAGCAAGAAGGGGCTGGAAAGAAATATTCCAAGTCATGAAAGGCAAGGACCTACATCCAAGATTGCTCTATCCAGCAAAGCTTTCATTTAGAATGGAAGGGCAGATAAAGCACTTCTCAGATAAGTTCAAGTTAAAGGAGTTCATCATCACCAAGCCCTTATTATATGAAATGTTAAAGGGACTTACTTAAGAAAAAGAAGATAAAAAATATGAACAGTAAAAAGACAGCAAACTCACAGTTATTACCAACCACACCTAAAAAAACAAACAAAACAAAAGCAAACAAATAGAACAGGAACAGAACCACAGAAATGGAGATCACATGGAGGGATAGCAACAGGGGAGTGGGAGGAGGAGAGAGGGGGAAAAGGTACAGAGAATGAGTAACATAGATGGTAGGGAGAAATTAGACAGGGGAAGGGCAAGAATAGTATGGGAAATGTAGAAACTAAAGAACATATGACACATGGACATGAACTAAAGGGAAGGAATGTGGGTGGGAGGGGGTGTATGGGGGAGGGGAGTAAAGGGAGGAAATGGGACAACTGTAAAAGCATAATCAATAAAATATATCAAAAAAAAAAAGAAAAAAAAGAATGGAGGGGCAGATAAAGTACTTCCCAGACAAGGTCAAGTTGAAGGAATTCATCATCACTAAGCCCTTACTATATGAAATGTTAAAGGGACTTACCTAAGAAAAAGAAGATGACTATTTTAATGAAATAAAACTTTCTGTTTCTGTAAGAAAAGTTTAATTGAGTGGGAAAACATATAATAGTTGTAGATAGCTATGACTAGAAAAACCTGTTATTTGGACCATGGAATCACAACAAAGACATAATTTTTCATTAAAAAAAGAAAAAGATGATCAAAACTACAAACATTAAAATGACAACAAACAACTATCAGCAACTGAATCTAAAAAACAAAATAAAAAACAAACTAAGCAAACTACTAGAATAAGAACAGAATCACAGAAATGGAGATCACATGGATAGTTAGAGCGGGGAGGGGGAGAATGGGGGAAAGGTACAGGGAATAAGAAGCATAAATGGTAGGTACAAAATAGACAGGGGGAGGTTAAGAACAGGAAATGGAGAAGCCAAAGAACTTATATGTACAACCCATGGACATGAAGTAAGGTGGGGAAGCCTGGAGGGAATAGGGGTTCTGGGTGGAGGGGGATAAAGGGAAGCGAAAAAATGGAACGACTATAATAGCATAATCAATAAAATATACTTAAAAAAGAATAAAGCCAGGGAAGTTTTCAAGGAGAATGAATCATTGATATAGTATCATTAGCTCCCCCATGAACTGAATTCTGCAGTCTATCTTGTCTTACAGTTAAACTGCCTGACAAATTTGTTGGCTTGTATAAGGGTTTGAGAAAGAGGATGTGAGTAGGATGTTCAAACAGGTTAAAAAAGAGCACCATAAGTTATGTCTAGAAGCCCCTTTTAATTGACTTCATGTGCATGTAACCCATCAGGAAATATCAGAAACTGAAAAACAAGATTAAATAAAGAAGCATGGAGTTTGAATAAAGACCTTAAACAGATGTTGAGTCCAAGCTCTGAAAAAAAATTTCAAAAATCAAATGGTACCCATCACAATTGTGAGAGCTCTTGCTCACTTTGTTTGTGGTAGCTTAAAACTGGAAACAACTCAAATGTCCATCAAAGGAGAATAGATAAAAAAAATCATGGTATAACCATATAATGGAATAGTACTCAGTAATAGGAAGGAATGAATGTTGATACATACTACAACACAGAGTATTAGCCAGACAGAAAAAAGAGCATAGAGTATGATTCTATTTATATGAAGTTTGAAAACAGACAAAACTAATATAGTAATAGAAATCACTTTTGGGTAATAGGGAGCCAGAGAGGGCCTGGAAAGTGGGTATGAGGGATCCTTCTGGGATGTTCCATATCTTTGTCTCGGTTATGGTTACAGATGCACGCACACATGTAAAAATTCATAAAACCTTCATACACTTAAGGTCTGGTATTTTAAGGTAAGTTTTACCTTAAAAAATCTGCTGTTCATACCCTTGCCTTTTGTGCCTCTCTCCTCATACATATTTATCCAATACCACTGGTAGTACCACCTATAAATTAATTGTCATGGGCTTACATGCTCACCCGCATCCAAGAAGGATATGAGGTAGCTCAAGTGGAAGCATTACCACCTCGGAAGCATGGGCAGGCATGAAACATCTCCATAAAGCCTGAGTCAGTCTGAATGTTGTGGAAAACAGATGCACTCTGGAGCAAATGACCTCACAGGCCTAGATGAGTTCTTACCTCTGGAATCCACAGGGCACAGCTGACGTGAGCCCATTTAGTCCCTGCCTTGGTGGACTTCATGGCTCCACCTTTCTTTGGACATAACACACATTGCGGATGAATGCCTACAACACAGGGGCGACACAGCCAGCTGCCTTCTGGGACCTTGAGGATGCCATAGCAGGCCTGGAGACAGGAGGAGAGGAGAGAATGGTTTAGCACCTTCTCACCAGGGTCTATGTCTGCTCTCCAATACAGTCAAAAGTGCCCTCCATTTTTAGGAAAAAGAGGCAAATAAATTCAAATAAGCTCATATCCAGAATTTAGTAATTTTTAAACTCTCAGGAAAAAAAAAGCAACTTCTAGCATCTGTTCTAAGATCAGCATGTCTTGTGAATGAGAAATGACTTTAAGGACAATAGAATAAGGCTAGATGGCAATATATGCAAAAGCTAGCCCAACTGTTATCTGAGTTTGGGAATTTCATGTTTTTTTTTTTTTTTTGCCTCCATTTTCTAAAGTTCTGTTAATGACTATTATAATTAGTTTTTCATATACTTATTGAACAACTACATGTCAAGCAATGCTGTGATCAAGAAAAAGGTATTAAAAATAAATAGAATGAAACTTCTGAGGAGCAAATGAGCTGATGTTTAAAGAACATAACAGTGACTAGTGCATAAACACTCAGCAAATTGTAGCAATTACTTGCTTGGGTTGAAGAAAAAGAATCCTGAATTGAATATAATATTAGACTAATCACAATACTCCATAATGAGTTCTGGAAGCTGCTTTAAATCCTTTATGGAATGAAGTTGGACTAATAAATAGATGAATTACTGGGGAGAGGAGGGAGATTAGTTTGGAAATTCTAGATTTCCCTTTCACTACTTCTAATTTTGCCCATTGTTCCCCACTAACTGCTCTACTCTCACCATTAGAGACCAAACCTGAGGGTCACCTGGCTTCCCATGTTGTCTGGCACACCCACCACTACTGAATGATTCACCCAGAAGGTTCACCCACAGCTCAGATTCAAGTTACAACAGTTACCATCATGTCACCCTCCACCAAATTGGCCTCTTTTACAAACTCTCTCTTATCCATATCACCACCATGCTTCCTAGCTTCCAGATCCAAATTCCTAGACTTATATTATCCACTTTCCTTCATCTACTGTCCCTGGGTCTTGCTAGGCCTCGCTACAGAGTGAACTCTGGATTCTGACCTTCCTTTCTATCCCCATCACAATTGCTCCATCCAAGTCCTCATCACACCATGCCTAGATTGATTTATTTCTAAATTCTCTTCCTCCCTCTTCACACCTTAAATCCTGCCTGTATTTGTCTGCCATATTCTTACAAAAATAATGCTTTCATACCATTGCACAGCAACAACCCCTCTAGAGATTCCTTCTGCTCTTACCACCATCCCCATTTAAACCAGAGTCGGCAAACTACTCAAGACCTATTTTGTAAGGCCACCAAGCTGAGAACAGTTTTCATATTTTTAAAGAAATGTTAAAAAAATATGTAACAGGGACTGCATGTGGCCCTCAAAGTCTAAAATATTTACTATCTGCCCCTTCAAAGAAAACATTTGTTGGCCCTTGATCTAAAGCCTGCTGCTCTTCACTTCACTTCTCAGGGTCACTGTAACTCCTAGTGTCTGCTCCACTTCTTATCCCTGCCCTCTACTCAGCATAGTTTTCCTCACCAGGTACAGAGTCTGCATCACGTAGTCTTGTCTACTTTAGCTGTTATGTTTCATATCCTCAATGATATTTTAAGGTCACTGGAGGTAGGTCCTTTATCATCAATTTATCTGGAATGTTCTCTATGCAAAGCTTAATTTAGCTCAAGAACTGAAGTTGGACTCCAACCAGGCTACTCTCACCACAGCAGGGCATTGTTTTATAGGGTTCTTAACTTTCAAAGCTATTTTTCCCCCTCTGAGGTCCAGAAAGATTGTTAGGAAATAAAAGCAAGTTCCCTTCCTTAAGCAGAGCCTCTTACAGACCAGCAGAAGAAAAACCAATGGCTGGTTCTAGGAATACCCTTTATTTCCTGGGGTAGAAAATCACTTACTAAGTCTTGTATCAACTTACTCATGGTCATAAGATCACAGAAGCTTTTATTTAATAGCAGTGGTTCTCAACTTTTTCTAGACCACAAATGATGAAGGCTGTGGACTCTTGAGAAAATTGCACGCTTGCATGAACATATGTTTTGCATATAATTTCAGGGTCATAAACTCGGTGCCAAATATTATATACATGATAGGTATAAAAACGATGAACATATACTTTCAGTCAAATTGATTTAGGTATCGGTTTGAGTGTTGAATACCTGGAGTAAGAATCAGACAATGGAACATATAAAAGGACTCGGAATGATTTAAATTTTCATATTTTTTAATGAAAAAGTTTTAAGTTCACTGTTAAAATCTGAAGTCTATTGATGTAAACTTATCTTCCACAGTACTGACCATAAGTATGTTATATGTATAGAAGAACAAACATATGATATAATATGGTGGCAGTAAAGAAGAAAAATTATGTTTATTATATATAAATATCAACATGTTCTTGATTCTGTTAAGGAGTCAAGTAAATCTTCCAAATCACTTTAAGTCACTTTTCAATCAACAGAGGGCGCTCTAACCTAAGTAGCTCTTGAGAGCTCAAGTGAGTATCTTCCCTTTGGAAGAACCCTTTTTATATGAAACTTTACATGGCACAGCATCCAGCATTAATACATACCAACTTACATTCTGTAACGCCTGGTTAGGTGTTACTTTCACCTTTTTCTGTGTGATGAAAGGGCATCATTTATAGTCATTACTGGATATGTTTTCAAAACAATAAAATACCCTTGAGAACTATTATGCCACATTTCATTTTGTCAGTCAAAAGAACCTGAAAATAATTCCTTAATATTTTGTCCCAAATGGGAAGTACAAATATAAAAACTATATACAGATGACTTTTACATGATTCCCTTCAAGCACACTATAGATCCACAGTCATTTATCTGAAAACCCTAGGGTGAGAAAATCAGGAAATTCAGGATTGTTCATATCTTAGGAAAGTAATATAGTACATACATGGTATATAACCTAACTCCCCAACAGGACCAGGGGCAGTACCATATAATCAAATACAGTAACGTTTCTTTAAAAAAATATGACTACACAAAATGGGATAAAGACTATAAATAGCCTCATATGGGGTGACTTCTACTATTGCCACCAAATCTGTTTTGGTGCCAAACTTAAACAAAAATTTGCAGTTTTTCAGAGCTTTAAAATTTTGGCATCACAGAGAAGGGACTGTGGACTGGTATGGTAACATACTTAAGTTCATAGTTTTATGGTAAAGATTTTCTATCTTAGGGTGTAATATAAATAATAGTAACTGGTAAAGTGAAGATAAATTTTCAAAATTCAGTCTTTAAAAACACAAGTAAAATGAAGAAAAAGACACAATTGGTCACAGAATAATTTTGAGTACCTTCTAACACAGAAGGTTAGGTTAGGTGACCCAGGTAATTAAAATAGACTCTTCAGCCCTGACTTCTATTGCCTGTTATGTAATCATTTCAGTCACTTTGTAGCCAGAATCATCTAAAACACAAATCCTAACCTTCAGGGTTGACAGGACAAAACTGAAGTTGTTTAGTTTGTGAGAGAAGGCCCTTCACATGTGTCCCTTGTATCCCTATCTACCCTCACTCTCCATGCCTTTCCTGCTCCATCCACCACACTACACAGTTCTGAACTGCTCATAGCTACCTCAAACATGCTTTGCCCACTCTCACTAACTCATCTGAAGACATCTCTTCTCTGCCTGAACATGTGCTGCTGTTTTATCTGGCATTACCTTTTGGCCATTAAGATTCAGCTTGGATGCCACCATTTTGAAGTGCTGACACCCATCCTTCCCACACACTTCCACAGCAGCACAGACTTCTACGTACAAAAACAGTTGGCATACTATACTACATGGGCAGTTTCTTTTTAGTCCCTACACCAGACTCTGGTCTCCCTGGAGGCAAAGACCACGTCCACCTCTTCATCACTCATTGTGTCTTCAGTATGCAGCACAGTCCTGGTACATGGATGGTGCTGCGTACCTATTTGCTAGATAAATTAATGAATCACAAGTTCAGAAGAGTGAAAAATCACTTAGGGTAAGGGAGTTCAAGAACGGATTTGAACTAGATCTTGGAAGATATATGGATTTTTTTGATAGTTGAAAGTGGGAGAAGGCACTTTAAATTGTGGGGCAGGGTGGCCAAAACATGGACAGCACAGTGACAAGAATACGGTGCTTCCTTGAGTCACCTTATTTCATTGCAGCACAGGGCTTATGGGTGAAGAAAAGGAAAAACTGAATAGAATGTTGATATCATCATTATTAATTAAAAAGGCAGTGTTGTAGAAAGAATGACAAATAATTGGGTATAAGAACTTGGGTAAAGTCACTTCCTCCTTCTGGTATTTTCTGTGAATTTGAGGAGTGGGACAGACTTCACAGTTCTAAGATCCTATGATCTTTAAAAGTGGGGTGGACCTAGCTTCCTGGGAGTGCCATATTTGGGAGATGGGGGAGGGCTCTGGGTGCTAGGATAAAAAGTGTGGATTTCCAGCTATAGGAAGTGTAAACTCACCAAGGTTACTGACCATAGGTGTAACCTGGTGATATAGTATGGACTTGAGGCAGAGGAGAGACTCCCAAGCAGGCAGCAAGAAGACTCCCCAGGGAATTGTAAAGTATCTAACAAGACAATTTCAATGATCTGGGGATGAAGTGACAATAAACACCTGAGTTTAGCCCCCTTGGGTAAATTTTGTAAGTCACCTTGGGGATCGTAAGTATTGTTTCTTTTTTTTTAATTTTTTAAAAAAAATTTAAAGGGTTTTATTTATTTATTTTTAGAGAGGGGAGGGAGAAAACAGAGAGAGAGAGAAACATCAATGTGCAGTTGCTGGGGGTCATGACCTGCAATCCAGGCATGTACCCTGACTGGGAATCGAACCGTAAGTATTGTTTCTAAAGGAATACTGAAGAACAGCCAGGCCAAATCTTTATTTTCCCCCTTAAATGCAAGGAGCTACCCTACTATAGGTGCTGGAGATCATCACTGAGCTTCAGCAAGGCTGAATGTGGGGAGGTGACAGTCTCCACTCTCACTAACCTGATGCACACAGATGTTACACTTATCACAGAATACCATATCATTCCCTTCTTCACTGTCTGGAGACCGACACACATCACAGATCACATCTTCATCATACTCTATGCCTAGCCCTTCCTCTGTCTCAATAGCATGGTTCATATTTTCATGGCATTGGCGTTCCAGGACTTCTACTGTCTTTTCCATAAGATTCTCATCAACTGGCTCACAACCTGCACAGAAATACAAACAATCAATCAACTCGTCAGTCAGCTGTCATTCCCAAATTACCTACTGTGAGCCCGGTGCAGGGGTGAAGAGATTTCAAAGAATCAGTTACTAGAGATATTCTAATATTTATGTAGCAACACAAGTTAGTGTTTCACACATGAAGTAAAAATATATTTCACCATATTTCTTGTAAGATATATTACTGACCCTTTAAGTTTTCTGTCTAAATCCTAGCTAGTCACCTCCTAAATCTCTCTGTGTTTTCTCTTATTTCCACTGAGGGAGGACTTTTAGTGAAGTTTGTAATTTTGAACACTTCAACTTACAGTATAATAAAATAATTAGAATAACACTTAACTATGTGGATACAAATAATAATACAGTCTTAGCAAATTAGTCCCAATGAGCACATCTAATGGTTATACAAGGACATTTTCATACAAAAAGGTATCAAGTCATAAAAGAAAATACTAGGTACTATATATGTAATTATACATACAAAATATTTTGCTTTACAAACTTGACTTTTAAAAAAATCCAATAGTTTTTTTTAAGTGTCAAACTCCAACATGAAATAAACTTATCAGCTTTTACATAGGTCTAATTGCAAATTCTGAAGTTACTTTTTTTGCCTCTTGATTTCTTTTCCTTCTGTACTTTTAATTTTTCTTAGTCTTCCATATTTAATAACCCAACATAAAGATTCATATGGTAGATACTGATAAAAATGAAATATTTTTCTGCTTGAAAGGATCATATACGCATATATTTTTTCAAACAGCTTGTAAATTCAGAAGCAATTCTCAAAATAATCCAAAACAAATTTACCCAAGTAATATAAAATTCCACATAAACTACCTTTTTAATGTTATAGCTATTTATAAATAAAAAAAAACTACCCAGGCAGTATGTTTCATTTTTCCACTTAACAAACTACACATTTTTTTCTGGAATGAAGGAATATTAGTGTCTGATTATAAAAGCAGTTGAATTCAAATTCCAGCTTGACCTCATATCGGTCATGTAAACTTTGACAAGTTATTTATCCTCTTTAGGGCTTAGTTTTCTTATCTGTAAAATAGGATAATACCAAACTCACTGATGTCTTGTGAGGCCGAGATGAGGTAATATTTACACATTGCTTAGTGCCTGGTATGTAGCAAGTGCTCAATTTTTAAAGTTCCTTAATCCGAGTAAAAAAATGTGTTTAATTTACTGTTGTTTTTAAAAGTTTATTTTAAGCTCTTAGAAACCTCACTACAGTATCATTCATCCTAAAGGAATGCTTGAGATAAGGCAATCCTCTTTTAAAACTCATCCATGCCTAAATGCAGTGTGGTATCCTGGATGGAATCCTGGAACAGAAAAAGACCATTAGTAAAAAAAACAAGAACAAACAAAACTCTGATGGAATCCCAACAAAGCCTGGAATTTTGTTAATAGTAATGTACCTGGTGTTGGTTTCTTAGCTTTGATAAATGTACCATGGTAAAGTGAGATGTTAATGTTAGGGGAAACTGAAACTGTGTGAAGGGTATATGGTTACTGTATTAAATGTGCAACTTTTCTGTAAATCTGAAACTATTTCTAAATAAAAAAAGTTTATTTAAAAAGCTCATCCAAAGGGAATTAGCTGCAAAATACCAAAGGGACCTAGTTATAAGATGATGTCATGTCAAAGGCAGCAATGTAATGACTGTAATGTATATGGATGTTATATGGTTCACAAACACCACATGTTGAGCCATCAATCTACTTGATTATGCCCCCACACTGATTTCCCCTCTTTGCCAGTCTTTTATTCTCCTATCTTTGTGGTTACCACCCTAAATTTACCCCCCTTCCTCTTAGATGGCAGAGCAAGAGAAGACATAAAACAAAAAGTTTCAAGAAGCAAGGAGTTAAGTATTGGTTACTGGCAGAATAAGTACTACCATTATGCCAAACCGAATTTAATACAATTTTAATTTTTTGTTCACATGCATTCAGATACCAACCTTAGAAATAATAAATAAAGGAGAGAGAGAGAGAGAGAGAGAGAGAGAGAGAGAGAGAGAGAGAGAGAGAAAGAAAGAGGGAGGGAGGGAGGGAGGGGAGAAAAGTACAACACTGGTTCTTGTACTAACAATGAACAAATTTGATTCAAACAAAAATGAAATCAAATGTATCCTTCACTGTATCTCATATTAAAAACCACCCACTGTTCCATAGGACCACTTGGACCTAAACACTGCTCAGATTGAATACAGGTCAAAAAGAGTTTTATATAAATATTGTAAAGTGAGTTTTCTTTCAGCCTAGGATTTTATGGTATTGTACAGCACACATTCTCCTGAAAAATTGTTTCTATGCTTACTCACAAGTTGTTTGCTTGCTTTTGCTTCATTTTATTTTATTTTTGAGAATTGCATGACAACTCTGGAATTCAATGGAGCTAGCTAATAACTGCTTTTGGAATTTTTTGCTCTAGCATGCCATTCTTATTCTGAGCAGCAAAATTATAAGTTCTGTATAAGGTGTCCTGGTCACACCAACCTGTCAGTTGTAGTGCTGTCTAATGCTAAAGTTGACCTTCTCTCCGTTAGAATGAGATGGTAGAGGTGCCACTACCCTTGGCTCTGTTCACTGATGAAAGCCAACAGTGCTTTTAGGACTGAGTGAGGAACCAGTTTCAGAATTCTTCTCAACCAGAAATCCAATCAGCCATAATCACTCACATTCAGAATTGGGAAACAGCCTTGTGAAACCTACAGGCCATCCCTGATCTGTGCTATTCACCACGAACAAGGGAAGAAAAAGTTCAATTTAAATGTTAATGCTCCATTTCAATATATTTATACATTTCAATATATGCATTATTAAAATAAAATCAAAGAAAAAAATAAACAAAAAGATCAGAAAAGAAAGGAAGCCACAAGATGAAAGCAAGTTCAATGGTTGGATGACTTAAAAGAAAAAAAATCACATGTCAAGTCAAGGAACAACTTACTTGTGAGAAAACAACTTACCCATTTCTGCAAGGTCTTCATTGAGTTCCTGGAGCCAGAAGATGTCCATGTCATCTAGGTCATAGCGGCACACAGATGCCGCCTGCTCCTTGATGTTGACATAGCCAGGCTCTGTGGTCTCTGGGACAGAGGACTGGATATACTTCCGGGGCCGGGTAAATAGAACTTCCTTTACCTTGTCAGCTACAATCCTAGAAAAGCAAAAGAAAAACACTAAATAACAATTAACAGATGACATATTACAGGTATTGACTGAATGGGCCCAACGATACTCAGGCCATACAATGGAGTTGAATGCTCTTTCTACCTTGTGGAAATCTCCTGCTCTGCGAACTGGGAAGTATGAGAACAAATTCAGTTTTGTTATGTTCTCTGAATACTGACTGCTGATGAGGATTTTTTTGTTTTGTTTTGTGCTTAATCCCTTTATACTTTTAACCTAGTCCTGCAACCCCTTCCCTTTGGACAGCTGTCAGTCTGTTCTTTGTATCTATGAGTCTGTTTATATTTTGTTCATTAGATTCCACATTTGAGTGAAATCATATGGTAGTCGTCTCTCTCTGACTGGCTTATTTCACTTAGCATAATGCCCTCCAGGTGAGGCATTATAGAACTGTTCACGTGAAACATATATAATTTTATTAACCAATGTCACCCCAGTAAGTTCAATAAAAATAATGTCATTGTTGTTATTTCTTATTGTCTTCACTATTTATGTAGATGAGTGAAAGCCAAGAGTCCACGGACTTACACAAACTTAAGGCATTTCCCAATCATAAATGATAGCAATGGTAAGTCTGGGCCAGGGCTACATGATGAGAAGAAAGACTCCTGTTCTTCCATCAACTTCTCCAGTAGGCCAGAGAAAACCAGCATTTCCCCTTACCCTTTTAGACACTTAAGAGCCCAAGGCAAGGAAATCAAGCAAGGGAAGAAATAGAAGTTTCTCACACCAATGACCTATTCTACAACTGATGTTTTAGGTACTGCATTATGCATCAGAAAATATAACCAAGAGGATTATCATTCCCTGGCAATTTTAAAGAACAGGGTGAGCCATCTAAAAAAGAGAGAGAAAAAAATACATAGCTCATCATAAAATAATGAAAATTGTTTCTCTGGAAGGCTTCTAAAGCCGATTTCTTTACTATAGAGCAGTGATTTTTCAGTCAGTGTGCTGTGGCACACTGGTGTGCCACAAAAAGTTTTAAAACATGTAGTACCTGACTAGTCAGGGACATGAACCTCTTTTTCTGAGACTGTCAAATATAAAAATTACAATGGCCAACACAACCATAGCCATCTGGTGTGAATGAATAAAAACATTTTTTGTCAGATCAGCAAAAAATATATTTTTTTGGTATGCCCGGACAATATTAGTAATTGGTTTATGTGTATCATGAGGTGAAACATGTTGAAAATTGCTACTCTAGAGCTGCTATACAAGTATAAGTATTCATAGACATAAATATATTCATATGAATACATATAAATAGTATGAGGGGGCCCCCCAAACCAGAATTTATTTATAAAAATTATGTATTCTTAAATGTTTAAACTTCAGTCACCTTCCAAGTACTCTCCATTTGATGCAATACACCTACTAAGACTTTTTTTCCACTGCTCAGAACAGTTTTTTAACTCACCAATTTTGATGCTTTTAGTGCTTCTGGTGTTTTTTGTTTCATCTCTTTCACACTGGCAAAACGTTTCCCTTTTAGGATTTTCATCCAGGGAAACAAAAGGAATTGCTTGGGGAGACACTGGGTGAATATAGAGGATGGGGCTTGGGGGGGTCATGCTATTTTTGGTCAAAAACTGCTGAACACTCAGTGCAGTGTGGGCTGGTGCACTTGTAAACCACCCATCATGAAATGAGCAAACATGCTGAAGCTTCAAAAAAATTCCCTGAAGCTGAATGCAGCCTCTCACAACAACGCCAGCTGGTACACTGATACAGGTGGGTTTCTAGAACACTCAGCTAGCAGGGCAAGCCTGTACTATAAGAGGTCCACTGTCCAAAAGTTAATTCTGATTTTTTGGGTCCTCTCTTGTACATAGACCAAATCTGCTCTGTAAATATGTTTATAGAGTAAATATTTCCTCCTAACCATATGCTTTTAAAAGCATATGATTCCACTTATATATGCTGAATAAAGTTAGTACCAATATGCATTTGTACATGTTAACTTTTCTACCATATGGAGTTTTTAAAGCCAAAGGCTACAAATACTTGAGGAAAAAGCAGAACCCTAAAATATTAATTGAAGCTAAAACTTTGGGAACTGCTGTCAGAGGCTTGCTTCCAACTGAAATGAACCCAAATAAAAAACAAGACATGTATATGAATTATCCAGAGACTATGAGACTAAATATGCTGTGCTTTTTAGGTGCATGGCATATGAGATAATTATAGAATATCTAATTATTTCAAGATTCATCTTTTTCTGAAAGGGAGAATATTTGGTAACTATTCATCTCAATTGCCTCACATTCTATGTGGAACAAGATAGATTACAAATGTTTTTAAATTAAATTAGTATGTTTATTAAGTTTCTAGAAGAAAACAAAGAGGAATATCTTTATACCCTTCGGATAGGCAAAGATACTTTAAATAAGACAAAAGCCATTAACCATAAAGAAGAGAGTGCAAAACTTCTGTTTATCAACTATACAGGGTGGGGAAAAATAGGTGCTCCATTTATCACTAGGGGCTGTTCTTCCCTTGACTTACTATACAAAACCCAAATTATCTTTTGGAAGTGAAACCAAGAGGATATCTTTTAATGTTGAATATGGGGTATTTGGCAATGAAGAATCAAAGGTGACTCTAAGAATTTTGACATGAAAGACTGAAAAAACAGAGTTACAACAGACAGAACAGATCTACCATAAGTTAAATGTGGAAAACTATAGGTGGAACTAGTTTGGGGAAGATCAGCCCTTCAGTTGGAAGCATTTTAAGTGTGAGATGTCTACTGCACATCCACGTGGAAATGTTGAACTGGTGGTTATATATTTGAGTCTGGAGTTTAGTGAAGAAAGCGCTGCTGTCCATAGCCCAGTCAGTTCCACTTTTACATCCCAAGGAGAAATAGTGGCTTGTCTGAAAAATCCAATCATTCCTCTTTCGTATCATTAATGACTCAGAAGTATATGATGACATATTGTTAACTGAAAAAAGTCAAGAATATTCCATTTATATATACACGTGTGTATAAGCACATATAACTATACGGCTGATGTTTTGTATTCTGATTATTTTTCTTTTTACTATAAGGCAATAATTCATCTATAATTTTAAAAATATACAAACACATACTTGGTAAATACATCATTAGCTACTTGTGTGTCACAGAACTTATAATGCATATTTCCTTTCAACCAAACATAAAGCACTGTCTTCCTTGCATTGGAATCTTACTGTAATAGAAACTAATTTAAATAAACAAATGAAAACCTAAAAAAAATCTATCTGAAGCTTCTTTGTTACTGACTAGCATCAAAATCAGCCTACCTAAAAGCATGTAATGGGGTCAACATCATTTTTATTTGTTGAACTTATTTTCAAAAAACCCCTTGTGGTGTGAAAGACTTACCTAAGTAGCTATAACTTACAGGGCAAGGTGGCTCTGTAATTCTCTGTACTCTATCATCTCAGTCACCACATACGTATGCTACACTATACTATCGGACAAGAGAACTGAAGAAAGAACACTAGAACAGAATTAAAAAAAACGTAGTCTGAAAGACAGGACAAAGATTCCACAAGGATTTGCTCCACCTGCTATACTGCATCTTTTCCACTCCCTTTTCAGTTATTATGGCACCAATGGAGTAACTCTAGCACCCAAGGATAAGGTCAATTAATTTACATATGTCCAAAATTACTTCTGCAAGCCAATTAGGAAACAATATTCTCAAGTATTTTGACAATCTCGTGGATTAAGTAATATTTAAGTTTTCTAGTTGACGGATTAATGGGCTCACTCTTGGAGCCCAAAGCTGCCAGGTAACAAGTCAGACTAACCAGCTCAGAGACCACATGAAGAGTCCTAAGACAATATGGGAATGTGGGGAGTGGAGATCATAGCATCAACTACCAGCACTTTTACAGTGGTAAGTAAAATCAATAAAGTTCCTATGCTCACACAGCTTTGAGTTTGTAATTTCACTATCAAAGAGTAGCAGAGAAATGCTATGTGTGTACCAAACCCCGTTTCCTTTTTCATCTAGGCACACAGCAAGATTGCATTCTTCAGCCTCTTTTGTAGGCCATGAGAAGTGACTTCTGGCTTATGGCATATGGGTGGGTAAGTCACTTCAAAGTTTAGACCCCTCCTTCCCAAAGTCTATCTGCTAACCTTCCACACTGTCTTTTCTTTTCCTGAAGACTGGATTTAGAAGTTTAGGGGTGGAAAAGGGAGTGTAAAAGTACCTAGCAGATAGAGGAGCCACTCATAACAAAAGCTCAAGTCCCTGAATGACTACATGGGGGTAGTGGTGACCCACATCCCAAACCCAAATTGGGTAGAGACATATGCAAGAAATAAAATCTTCATTGTGTTAAGATGCTGAGACCACTGGGGATGCCTGTTATAGCAGTTGGCCTACTTTGACTAATACATAATGGTAAATAGTTGTTTCCCAATACTTTTACATATATTTTAACTACTGTATTACATTAGATTCATTCTTAAATTTCTCTAACAGATTTATACTTAGAATACTTACTCCAGTGAACTGAGATTTCCATCAGTAGAAAATAACTAACCAATTAGGTTTTGATTTTAACAAACTGGCATAGAGGAGCCAACCCAAAATAATGGATTAAAAAGATTTTTGTTTTTACATTCTGACAGTTTTCACATGCTATTGTAAACTGTGATAACATTCTGTTTTAATACAGAAAGGTTTTTAATAACCTTTAGCACAGAATTAAGAAATGTCTTCATGTTTTCAATGCACACCAATTCATACTCTTTTTAAAATTTGGAAGGCAGGAAGAATTTTAAAATTGAGTCATGATTTTTAAAAAGACTTCATTTATTTTTAGAGAGAGGGGAACAGAGGGAAAAAAGAAAGGGAGATAAACATTGATGTGTGAGTGAAACATTGATCAGGTGCCTCTCGCACACCCCCAACCAGGGACCTGGCCAGCAATCCAGGCATGTGTCCTGACCTGGAATCGAGCCGGTGACCTTTTGGTTTGCAGGACAACACTCAACCCACTGAGTCACACCACTCAAAGCTAACTGAATAATTATTAACTAACATTTCTTCTTTATATAATAGTAACACATGACCACTGAAGATATTGGTTTTAAATCTAAAAACAATCATTGCAAAGGTATACTATAAAACATTTACATTTGTTTAGATCTGGCAGTTATGTTAGAAGAAAACAATTTAATTTGTGGCTTTGAGAATAAAGCTATCTTTTTAAAATTTTTATTTGTTTATTTTTAGATAGAGGGAGAGGGAGGGAGAGAAACATCCATGTGCAAGAGAAACATCGACTGACTGCCTCTTGCATGCCAACTGGAAACCTGGTCGGCAACCCAGGCATGTGCCCTGACCTGGAATTGAGCCAATGACCTTTCAGTTTGCAGGATGATGTCCCATGCACTGAACCACACCAGTCAGGGCAAGCTATCCTTTTTTATTTTTTATTTTATTTTTTTAAAGATAAAAGTTCATTTGAGCCAAACTGATGACATATGCCAGGGAGAAAGATTCCAAATGCCCCAAAGCATTTAATTTTGACATTTCTATTTTTTAATTTCTTAAAAAAAACACTTTTGAAATATTCTCTCAATAGTATAAATCACCAGTTACCAGACAGCTTCTTAATTTCTAGGAGATTTGTAATCAATAAAAAGAAGAACAAAGACATACAAAACCCCCCACTTATTTCGCTTAACATAATGCTTTCCAGTTCCATCCATGCTGTTGCAAAGGGCAGGAACAATTATAAAGGACACATGGACAATAACAGAGGGGGTGGAAATGGGAGGGAGGTAGGGAGCACTAGGGGGTTGGGTTGGAGTGGGGGGGGAAGCAGAAAATTGTACCCGAACAACAATAAACCCCCCCCAACATAAAAAGTTATAAAATTTAACCAATAAAAAGGAATGTAAATGGTGTTTTTTTTTCTTATAGTGTGGGGAAAAAGTGACATATTTGGACAGAGTGAAACATAAAGGTAGAGAAATTAGCATCTCAGTTTGAAATCGGAAAAACTTTAAAAAGTTACCTAGGTAGAAAGAAGAGATTAAAAAAAAAAGAACTAGGATTTCTTGATTCAACAACTACATTTTCTTCCATAGCAGCCTGGTTTATAAGGGACTCATGGAACCAAGTAGTAAGTGGGGTTGGGTATACAGTGTCTATCAACTTTCAAAAAGTAAGCTGCTCAACAAATGAAGATGGGGTACCTGATATCCACATGCAAAAGAATGAAGTTGCACCCCTAATACCATATACAAAAATTAACTCAAATGGATCAAAGATCCAAATGTAAGAGATACAACTATAAAATTCTTTTTCTTTTTTTAAAATTACATTTGTTAATCCTCTGAGGACATTTTTTCATTGCTTTTAGAGAGAGAAGGGAAAGAGGAAGAGAGAGAGAGTGAGGGAGAAGGTGGGGGGAAGAGAGAGAGAGAGAAGTATCGATGTGAGAGAGAAACACCGACTAGTTGCCTTCTATGCACCCTGACTGGAGACTGAACCGACAACCTGGGTATTATGTGCTCTGACCAGGAATCAAACCAGCAACTTTTTTGTTACAGGACAAAGTTCCAACTAGCTAAGCAATACTGGCCTGGGATAGACAATGATTTCTTATATCTGACACCAAAAAGATAAGTAATCAAAGAAAAAAATAGATAAACTGAACATCAAAATTAAAAACTTGTGCCTCAAAGGACACCACCAAGAAAGTGAAAAGACAACCCATAGAATGGAAGAAAATAATTGCAAATAAGAAACTTGTATCCAGAATATGTAAAGAAAATTTATAACTCAACAATAAAAAGACAAATAGCTCACATTTTAAAATGGGAAAAAGATCTGAATAATTTGTCCAAAGGTATACAGGGTAGAGCATAAGTAGCTTTCCAGTTGTGAGTATGTGAAAGTTTATTCTTATATTATTTATTATTTTCCATATGAACAAATGTAAACTTATTTTTGTCCCACCCTGCATATAAGTATGCAGGGATGCACTATATAAAAATGGGACATTCTGGCCCTGGCTTCTTGGTTCAGTTGGTTAGAGTGTCATCCTGTACACCAAAAGATTGTGGGTTCAATTCCCAGTCAGGGCACATACCTAAGTTGTGGGTTTGATCCCTGGTTGAGGCATGTATGAGAGGCAACTGATTGATGTTTATCTCTCCCTTCCTCCTCCTCTCCTTCCCTCCCCCTCCCTCCCCCCTTCCTCCCCACCCTCTCTCTCAAAAGGGGGAGACATTCTGGAACTGCTGATCTGGGGACTTTGTCTCCTTGTTCACTAAAGGGTCAGATTTTCAGCAGCCAAGGGCTTCCCTTCCAAAGTAAATGTGATGGAACATGAAAAAATGAACTAAGATGATTCACTTTGGTTGTCTGAACAGTAGTGTTTCACAGAAAGAGAAAAAAAGAACAATCTTGTATTTTTGGACCATATATATGATTCTTCTTTTTGTAACAAATTATAAAACCTCTCTTCCAAAAAGAATATGCAAGTGACTAACAAGCATATGAAGAATTGATGCTCAATATCATTAGCTATCAGGTAAATTAAAATAAAAACTGCACTGAGATACACTTAATACTCTTAGGATGGCATTAATAGAAGATAGACAATAATAAGTGTTGGTGAGGACATGAAGAAAGTAGAACCTTCATACATGGCTGGCAGCAATGTAAAACATTGCAGATGCTGTGTAAAACAGTTTGACAGTTCTTCAGAATGTTAAGGATACAGTTATCATATGATCCAGTGGTACTTCTACTAGGCTGGAGTCCAGAAAGTATCCAGCCATGTGCTATGAAAAAAAGACATTTCTTGAAGAAGATACAGGAAACATTGTATATAGGACAATGATGCCTCAGTTCCCTTCAAAGTAAGTACCCTTGAGACCTCACACAATTATCCCAGCATCTCTTTCACTGTTCAAAATACTCTGCAAAATCCTTTGTTGGAATCAACATCAACGGTCCCATCCTATTTGCCTGAATCTCATCGACATTCTGAAATCTGTTCACTTTCAAAGGTGATTTTAGTTTTGGGAAAAGCCAGAAGTCACAGGGCACCATATCTTGGCTGTAGGGGGATGAATCACCTGGGTGATTTTTTGTTTCACTGAAAAGCTCTGCATGAGACATGATGCATGAGTGGGTGTGTTATTGTGATGAAGCTGCCTATCACCAGTTGCCTGTAGCTGCGGCCTTCTGAATCATCCAAATAGTTTTCATGGAGGTCATGTTCAAGCTTAACACAAAATTTGAGGCACATTCGCTGCTCTACTTACTTAGTCATTTTGAATGCAATGGTCACACAGTACACATGCTCACTCAATGGCATCTACTGCCCCCAGTGCCTAGTATAGCGAAGTCATCATTGTTCACACATTCCCATTCCAGGTTATTTGCCTTGGCTGCCAACTTAAATCACTGTCACATAAACCATTCTCATTATATTAACAATGGCTGGAATTTTTCTGGACAGACCTTGTATACCTAAGAGACTATGAGACTCTGGATCTTAGAAGTGTAATTCAACAAGTATTTCTTCTGGAAAATGACTAGGACCTATGAACCTGGTGCTAGGGATGGAGAATTCAAGGATGTGATCTCTGCCCTTTAAGAACCTAATCTACACTAGAAATACACAGATGCACAATGAGATGTATACTTTCTCATAGTAACCAAGAGGTCCCACCAACCCTTTTATCTGTTGCTATCCCTTTCCTTCCCTTCCCTTCCCTCCCCTCCCTTGTGTCCTTCACTCACTCATTCACTCACTCAAACTTATACCAAGCATTTTATTTCATGTCAGCCTTTGTGCAACACACCAGGAACACAAAGACCAGTAAGACAAAATGGCTTCCAAAATCAGTCATTACTCTTGAGAAGTTAAAACTTACTATTTCCTCTGGCAGAAAAATCCTCTCCCCTTCCCACAAAAGCAAAATCCTCTTCTACTTAATCTTTCTTCTCAAGTCTTTGCGAATGAAGGCTATGCGCTTATAGTCAACCCAATTATCACAGTTATTCCCTTTTATTTGTGTTTATGCATTTTACGAACTCTAAATATTTTGGTTTACTATTTATAGATGCTATTACTATAAGTTCCCTGTTATAATGAAATGACTTTTCATGGGGTTATGTATTAACACAATTATTGTGGGGTTATATAATTAATGCTCTGTTTCTCTTCAAAGGCTAATAAATGCTACTATTGTTGAGTCAGACATGGAAATCCTGGTCTCCAAAATCTTATCACGATTCAGATTGGACCTCAAACAGTTTTATCCTGTAAATGGGCATATATTTTATCCCTAAATAAATGAGCTTGACTTTAACTACTAATCTACCCTAGCTGGTATACTCTGCCACTGGTCTCAGTGAACTGAACATGGTATGTGATTTTGCATTATAAATGTAAAGTTAACCACTCAAAGTCTCTCCCCAAGCAGCACACAGATAACCGTAAGAACATTCATTCCCTAAGTCAAAAGTGCAAGCATGCAAATACCTGAGGGAAGGCTGTGGAAGAGTGTCTGGACTGGCTGGTACCTGAACTCCCTTTTCCCATTCTTCTTTCCATGTATCCGTAAAGAGATAATAGCTGTCAGGATTAATGTGGTGAGAATCTGAAAGTTTCATGGCACTGATGAGGTCCTTCCGGTATACCTAGGAAGACATTGCACACATCATGGAGGAACTAAAACCATTTAATGTTATTTTAAAAAGACCATCCCCACTCACTCTATACTTCAACAAGAGAGACATTTCTAACTTCTTAAATGGCCAGATTAACTCCTACTTGGAAGGGGTTTGAAGTATCAACAAAGAAATCAGCTTATTCTGTATTTCATAAAGAGTAAAGGGGTCCTTTTGAATTATTTTCTTGGGCTCCTTGAATTTAAATAAACAATACAGGTTACTCTTAGACAGTTTGTATAAAACAAATAATCCTTAACTCTTCAAATTAAGCAATAAGTACCCTCTGATAACTTATAATTGTTTATTTAGCTATTATCTTATTTTTGATGACCTACTCAAAGTTACAAAAATAGTACTGAGCTCCCATACACCCTTCACATAGTTTCTTCTCATGTCACCATCATACATAACCAGTGTACAATTACCTAAGCCAAAAAATTAACATTGCTACAATACTAATAATTAATCTTCAGACCTTATTCAAATTTTACTAATTTCCCTTCTAATATCCTTTTGTTCCAGAATTAAATCCAGGATCCCACATCACAGTTAGTTGTCATGTGTCCTCAGTACCCTCTAATTTGTGACAGTTTCTTAGTCTTTCCAGACCTTGATACTTCTGAAGAATACTGGTCATACATTTGAAAGAATGTCCCTACAAGTGGGGTTTGTGTGATATTTTCTCATGATTAATGTTACTAATTTTTTTTGGCAAGAATACACAGAAATGATGCCATGCCTTTCTCATTTCATTATATCAGGAATACATGATACCAATGTCTTATTAGTGGTGATGTTAAACTTGATCACTTGGTTAACATAGGGTCTTGCTGTTTTTTCCCCCACTGTTAGGTTACTATATTTCCCATTGTAATTAATAAATAGCTTAGAAGGGATACTTTGAGATTATAAAAACATCCTATTTCTTCTCAGACTATCATGGACTAATTTTAGTATCCACTGGTATATATCAGCCCTGCATTTATTAATTTGAATTCCTCTGTAATAAAGATCTGTCCTTTCTCCCCCTCATTTATTTATCTACTGTAATACTTTGTATAATGGGGTAAGAGAGGATCATAGACATATCCATTTAACATGTTTTGCCCAGAGCTCAGTGTTCTGGGTGGCTAGTCCAAGAAACAGAATTGCCATTTTGCTGAACACTGTGATTCATTTCTATAAATTACTTGAGTGCCTTTAACGAGCCAGTGGTTAAGTGGCTGTGGCAATTTACAGTTGTACTAAACTGTTGTCTTTGGGAAAGACAGTATGGGAAAGCCTACCTTAGATCTGTAAATAATACCAAAGCCAAGTGTTTTTAACCTCCTAAAATATTTCATTATTTTCTATGTGATATACTTCATAATATAAATTGATTGCAAAATCATGCTTTGGGGTTAATAATGCCACAGCATCTAATCACACAGCATAAGCCATGTCTTCCTATTTAATATAACTGCTTATAAAAATCTGTCCTGTACAGTTTCCTAAATAACCTGGAAATATATTGTAGTGGGTTGAATGGTGGCCCCCCAAAAGATATGTCTACATTCTAATTTATGGAACTTGTAAATGGATATTTACAGATGTAAATAATTTAAGGATTTCTGAGATGGAGAGATCATCCTGGAATATCTGTGTGGGCCCAAAATCCAATGACAGGAATCTTTACAAGAGAAAGGCAGAGAAAGAGTTGAGGCAGAAGAGTAGAACACTGTGTGATCATGGAGCAGAGACTGGAGTGACTCACTGATCTATAAGTCAATAAATGCTGAGTTACCAGAACCTGGAAGAGGCAAAAAACCAGAATTTCTCCTAAAATCTCTGGAGGGAGTGCAGCCTGGCTGATTTTGGACTTCTGGCCTCCAGTACTGTGAAAATAATTTCTTCTTGTTTTAAGTGCCCCAGTTTGTGGTAATTTGTTACAGTAGTCCTAGGAAACTAATACACAAAATTACCAAACAGAGGAGTAACTTGAAGACTCTAGATAAAAAGATATAAAAGCAGAAGCCAATGAAATCTGGCCCCTGTCCATGGCTCCAGAAATACCAAACCTTCAGAACAGGCAATTCTGTGAAGTCTGAGAAACCTTGGACTGTAAGAACACCAATCAATGAAATCTATTTTTCTTAAGCAAATGAAGACTAAATACAATGATTATTATAATCTTCCCTTCTGCTTTTAGAGAAAAAAGCAGATTTATATAATAAGCCTGATTTCAATTTTAAAACCTAGCCAGATTAAATAGCATCAGATCTAATGTTTCTAGAGAAGCATTTTTACTCAAGGCAGAATGCAGGCATCTGCCTTATCTTGCTACAGAAGGCAAACATCTCAAGCATGATGCAGACCATAAAATGTTAAACAGGGGATAGGAATGCAAGTTTAGCACTCAGGCACATATCTGCAAAGCAATATGAAATATACAGGGTGGGGAAAAGTAAATTTACAGCTGCTCATATGGAAAATAATATAACAATTCATAAATAATAATACAAGAACAAACTCTGTGTTTTGCATACTCACAACTGTAAACCTACTTTTGTCACACCCTATATTTACCAGACTGGTCTCATGAATTTGCTTCTGATAAAAAAAGACATTTTTTTTAGGTTTATAAAATAAATATAGACAAATAAAATAGCTATAGCATATCCTGGGTAGAGATGTGAGTTTTATATACATACACACACATACACACATATTTGTGTATTATTTTCATAAAGAAACTAGAAAAGGATAAACTTTAAACTTTTTTTAAAAAAACAGGTAATTTTGGGGAGAAGGAAAATAGGGAAGAGAGAGAGAAACAAAAGCTGATCTCTCTGAATGTATTTTGTTCCACTGTTTGATGTGTAAACTAGGCAGATGTTTTAATATAGCTAAAGATGAAATTAAAAATCTTTATTAAAGAATGAAAAATAGGTCCGGGACAGACTACCTTGATTTGTCTAATGGTTTCACCAAGTAATAGTTTGGGGCAAGTTATCTAAATTCTCTGTTTATTCATCTATAAAATGGGGATAATGATCACAATGACCTCAGAGGGGTTGTTGTTAAGGATTAAATGTGTGAATTTATGTAAAGGGCTTAGCATGGTACTGGGCTCCTGGTAAGTGCTAAATAAATTCTAACTGCAGTTAACTTTATCATCATCATAGTCTCAGCTTTACAATTAAAAGCAGAAAAAAATGTTTAGCTGAGTTCTCCTGTCTAGTCCATAAAGTAAATGTTGATGGAGTAAAGAAGATGTGAGTTTATGGCTCACTAACATGTGTGTGGCTTGGCTCCCAAAGACAGGGTTTCCAAGTGAGAGCTCCATCAAGAACTTTAACTAACATTTTACAGGCCATGAAGTAATGCAGAAACTTCACAAAATAAAACATGGCCATTTTTTACTAAATTAAAGATTATGAATGATGGATCTGGATATTGACACTGACCTAGGTAATGAAGTTGAGAAGTTTTACATACTCTCAATTGTGTGCCTATTTTATATGCACTGGTAGTTTCCCCAAAAGTTCCTGAAACAAAAAGACTTTATACTTTTACCAGAGATCTGCTCATTTATGGTCAAAGAGGGGATTCACAGGCTAACATACAGCCCAGAAGCTATGCCAAGTCCAACAGTGCATGCACATCTTGGCCTCTCAGATGCTTACAGAAACAAAGGAGGCCTCACTATGAATTCAATTAGAATATCAATGCTTAACCTGTTAGAGCCACAAAATGAAAATGGCCTTCATGGACAGCTCTGGCTTTTACTGTTCTCATTAACATCTTTCTCTCTCAGTGGGCAGTTTCTTAAAGCATAGCTAGTCTGAACATTTCTGTGACATTTTTAAGAGGAAAAGCCAAACATTTACTTCCTGTATGACACAAAGGGGAACACTGTCTGGTTCATGTGAATGAAGCAGAAAGAGATCGCTCAGTTTTGATTCATAGTCACTTAAATCTGAAACTATACCTAACTCACCACAAACAGATGTGTCATCCCCAAAGCACAAAAAAAAAAAACAGCTGCAAACACGGTATCTATATTTAACTAAAGAGAGTTAACTGTAAGTGGTTTTCTTAGAATTATACAATCCTAAGGCAAGATGAGATTTTCAGGTTATCTAGAAGAATCATCTACTTAGAGCAGAGAGAACCTAGAAAAGAATAGAAGCTTGTTCTTGTATGATAAAAAAGGTACCCAGTATTGTCAAGACATTGTGTCACACCTTGATTTCTCCAATGAAGTAAAGCTTATATAATTTCTAAGTTTAAAACTTTAAAAATCATGCAAATATTTTTCATGGAAATAATTTTCAAATAGTTTAAAAATAATTCTTAAGTTTCTTATAAAAATAAATGGGACATTTTTTATGGCTATACGCTGCCATTAACTGGAACATCAACTGCTATGAAGCAATGTACTTTGGGGCTGCTTAGGTAGGTTTGATTATTCCTCTTACCCCATACCAAATAGAGGTGTATGCAGCCTGGTAATGGAGAAGCAGCAGCAATTGAGTCTGACTTGAAGATCTGGGCAGTTTTCACACAATAGATGATACATGAGGCTTGCTTTGCAAGTTTTTCTCCTATCCTTCAATGTCCCTTTTTGCGCAATAAGTGTGCATTTGCAAGCTTAGTGCTTTTTATCTACTGTGGGCCAGAAAACAAAAATAATCAAGCTTGTTAGAAATGCAGATAAAAATGATGTAAACAGGCTCTATCTGAGGGTATTACAGTGTTCTCTGCTGAGTTAAGATATATTGAGCTTTCACTCTGTTGGTATGAAAGTCTTGGGCAAAATAAATGAGACTCCAGGCCTACAGATGATATATGCATTCAATCCTTTAAGATAGGTTGGTGTGTTTTATAGACCACTCAGATCCTGGCTTCTGAGAAAGAATGAGAGACTTTTTAATAAATTCAAATTGCTCATCTAGCACTATGTGATTTTTAAAGGGCAAATGGCTTTTTAAAAACATCTTTAAGAGCATGGGCCTTTCTAAGAATCAGATGAAGTCCACTGGTTTAAAAAAATACAGATAAAAATGTATCCTTAAAAGTCTGCATACAATTTCCAGAAGTTCCTGAACCTTACACGGGATTCACAGACCCCTAGGAAACTCTTCTCTAGAAGATAAATCAGGGGGAGGCATGTAGGGGAATCTCACACAGAGCACTAAACATCAAAGACAATATGTATCTATTAGTGCAGCCAATTAAGGCCCAGCAAAAAATGATCATTTATATTGCATTTCAGTGACTAACTCCCAGTAAAATGGTAAGGTTTCATTTTGGACCTGTAGAGGGTCAGAAAGAAGAAACTCCCATCCTTACAAGAAGAAAAAGGCAGGACAGGCAGCAAATTAACAATTTTTTCATGAACCCTTTAGAGAAATGAGTCATAGGTCAAATGGCCAACCCAAAGAGAGACAGGCATGCCTGCAGGGAGACATAGGACAGGAGCATTTGCTTACCTGGGGCAGAAGCCACAGTAGAAACATTAAACTAGAAATTTTGATGACTTGCTGGGGCCAAGTGGGAACTACTATGAGAGTATGAAGTTCCTGAGGGCTGTACTCATAGGGGGTCCCCACCTTCTTGTAAGCTTCTTCTCTAGCCATCCAACTCAGCTCTCATAGAGAAGATGGAGAAAACCTGGAGAAAAGACCCCCCAGTGGTGCTGTCTGGGCCCCTGGTGTTCAATGTTCTTCCTCCTTTACTGAACAAAAGGCTTCATCTTCAGGGGAAGGATATCAAATGAGTGCACTGGCATAATTTTGTTAGTGCTAGGGGAAAGGAAGAGTACCCAGTTTCAGCCTCCCTGTGTTATCTAAGGGGGAAAAAGACTTAATCTACAGGAAGAAGAACTTCAAGGACATAGACTGAGGACACCAGAAAATATCTGCTGCAGGTAGACAGGGGAAAATGGGGCAGGAGCAAAAAAGCCCTACCCTCTTCCCCATCCCCTCCTCCTGACTCAGGACCACTATGCCATCCACAGACTAAGACATAATCAGAATATTAGAGAATACTGTCCTTCCTCCATGCCCTACACCACCACAATGCTAAAGCCTCCAGTGATATAGTAAGAGTGGTTTGCAGCCAGAAGAGCTGCAAAAGACAATCTTTCTGAGGACAAGCACAAAGGGAAGACTAAGCCAAGGTCACTAGAAGAATTCAAAGTCCCTGGTACCCACAGCAATAACAAATTTAAAACACCCTCATATACTGCTGGTGGGAGTGTAAACTGATGAGGCCTTCTTGGAAAAAAATCTGGCATTCCCTCAAATGGTTAAATAAAGTTACCATATCCCATACCCAGGTGTAGGTCTACTCGAGATGACTGAAAACATGACCACGTAAAATTTTGTACATAAATGTTCATAGCTGTTGCTATGAATTCAAAGCAGCATTATTTATAATACTATAAAAATGGAGGTAACCCAATTGTTCATAACTAATGAATGGATAAACAAAATGTGATATTTCCATACAATGGAATATTATTCAGTCATAAAAGATGAGGTATTGATAAGTGCTAAAACATGAATGAATCTTGAAAATGTTATGCTAAGTGAAAGAAGCCAGACACAAAAGGCTGTATATTGTGATTCCATTAATATGAATATCTAGAATAGGCAAATCCATAGAGACAGAAATTAGATTAGTGGTTGGCAGGGGCTGGGAGTAGGAGGACTGGGGAATAATGGCTAAGTGGGTAAGGGGATTTCTTTCTGGGGTGATGAAAAGGTTCTACATTTAGATTGTGGTAATGGTTATTCAACTCTGAATATACTAAAACCCACTGAATGATATACTTTAAATGGATAAATTATACGGTATGGGAATTGTATTTCAAAAAAGATGTTTAAAATGTTTTACTTAAAAAGAGTGATTGTTGTAGTGTCAGTGGATATCACCTGAGAGGCCTTGACATCCACTTCCACTCAGTAACAACAAGGTATCCCTCCTGTTCAATGCAGTACCAGCAGGGACTGGATAGAGAGTCTAGGCTGTCACTATAGCCCAGGGCTGTCAAACTCATTTCCACCAGGGGCCACATCAGGCTCGTGGTTGCCTTCAAGGAGTCAAATGTAGAGCTCCTTGCTCCTAGTTAAGGAGTAGTTACATTTATACAGTCCTAAAATTACATTTGGCCCTTTGAAGGCAACTGCAAGGCTGATGTGGCCCCTGGTGAAAATGAGTTTGACATCCCTGCTATAGCCCATCTTTAATGTGGCATCCCTTACCGCCAACACTCCCCCTGCTATCAGGGAGGTAACAAAGTGAGTATTTCCACTGCAACAAGTAGTAAGGAAGGTAATAAGTAACCTCTCTCCCTTCCCAGGGAGATAACAAAACTATCTTCCTGGAGAGGCAACAGAACTAGGACAGAAAACCTAAGAATTCTGCAACTGGTGGTAAAGAGTCAGTGCCCCTCTTCTCCACTGGCCTGGTTATTACAGAGGCCTGATAAAACAGATTTAAATAAGACTTAGTGTCTGATAACATAATACCAAAAAATGTCTAGGATACAACAGAAAATTACTTATCATACTAAGAACTGGGAATGAGAAGAGACAATAGACACTAACACCAAGATAACACAGATGTTAGAATTATCTGGCAAGGATTTTAAAGCACCCATCATAAAAATGTTTCAACAAGAAATTACGAACACTATTTTTGAAATGAGTAAATTGAAAGTTTCAGCAAAGATATAGAGGGTATAAAGAATAATGAAATGAAAAACTTGAAATGGAATAATATAATAGCTGAAATAAACTCAGGGGGTAGGCTCAATAAGAGAATGGAGTTAACAGAATAATAAATAAGGGAACAAGAAAAATTCCCCAATCTGATCAACGAAAGGACACACACACACACACACACACCACTGAACAGTCTGAGGGACCTGTGGGAAAATAACAAAAGAGCTAACATTCATGAAATTTAAGTCCTAAGAAAAGGAGGAGAAAGAAGATGGAGCTGAAAAAATAGTTGAAGAAATAATGGCCAGCCTCACGAGGAGTGACACATTCTTCTTGGGCTGTCAGTGCTCTGAAGGCTAGGAAGACCCATCATGCCCAGATCTCCTAACCTGATCCTTCCTTCCCTTTTCCATCCACAACTTCCTCATCTACCCCTTCCTGCACTGCCTCCCATGTACCAACTTAGCTTTTAACGATCATAGGCCAGATATTTGGGTCCTCCCCAATTCCCCAAGTCTGGCTCCCTTGGACTTTTTGGCTAAGGAGAGGCTTTATAATCTAAAGCCAGGCATTTAAGAATAATCACCAAAATGAAATCAGTGTGAAGATTACTGTTTTCCCAAAGGGAAAAGAAAATGGAATCTCCCTTGAAAAACAAAACAAAAACTCATCAGAAAGCCTATGCATTGGCACACAGAGTTACTCCTTGCATCTCCAAGATCTGAATATTGTAGGTATGTAGGCAGAAGGCCTATTTTTTAAAGTCTAAAAATTAGAATATCTGATCTCACCTCAGCAGATTTCTTGTGTTCATTTGGAATTTTTGACTTGTTCCTATACATTGAGCCACAAGTAAGAGAAGTGGAAGGACCTGCAAAAGATAATTAGAAAAAAATACTGAGACTTATTAACCTGCTATTATAACTAAATGTCATATAACTAAATGCCATCTAAGAGAATACGAAAGATATGGAGAAGAACACAGTGATCTCATACACAACACTGAAGAAAGTTAAGTTACAACCAAGAAAGCCTCATAATGGAGTTTAAAAACATTTATAGGTGGATTTTTAGTGTGCAAAAGCTTCAACAAAGCTAATGCTGAGGGCATCTGATTTGATGTAATCATACCTCATAACATTTTGGAATAATGTGATTCATGTACCATCTGGAGGAAAAGTATCTGCAAAAGCAACGGAAAAACTAAAAATGTTCAACAAGTAATCTGTATACATCCTTTAGCACTTCCCCAAATGCTGTTGTTAATAAGACTGTTGCCTTTTACAAATGGCGACTCATCCAGTGAAACATTAAGTACCTGAGCTACAATTAGAATTGTAGGGCTTACAGTTTATGCTCATATACTTTAACTCCTTTCTAGAAAAGCACTGTTAAATCATTATTAGATTTGGCATATGTTGTTTAGATAAGTGAAAAACAACTGCTATATGCCATATAAAACCAATTCTCCCACCTAACTTATTAGTTTCTAATGAAATTTAAATAAGAAAAAATGGCACCCCAAGCTTTCTTTCCTGAAAACATTATTTTTAACCATGGAAGGAAGCATGAAATAGCTTGTTATCAAGTCAAAGAAGAAATCCTCAAGGAGTATGGATACAGAGGTTACCAGCTGTTGGCTGGATCTACTCACTCTCATCTGAACTGTCACTGCTGCTGAGAGTTCTATGGCGTTTCATTGTGGAGCATCCTGGGAAAGAGAACAACACTGAATGAAACAGTCATCTCTCTCTTTCTCTCTCTCTCTCTCTCTCTCTCTCTCTCTCTCTCTCTCTCTCACACACACACACACACACACACACCCATTCCAGAGGATAGTCAATACTTTCCTGCAGATCCCAAGAAGCAACAGCAAGCCAATCACACAAATCAAATGATTTCTGTCAAGAATATTCTCAAATGATCTAGAGTGATAGGAAAAAACTACCACCAAATTCTCCAATACAGTTTGTCATAGACAGGGTAAGGCTACATATTAGCCTTAGGAGGAAGTCCACACAGGAGAGGATGAATAGTACAGGAATGGCTAGAGCTTCAGATGTGGCCACATGACCAATGTCCACCCAAACAAAGAGGGCAGCCACGGGGACCTCATCAGCCAGAGAGGAGCAGGAAAGGAAAAAGCAGTAGCAAAGACAGTGCTGTCAAGGGCCAAGGTTGAAAGGCATGAGACATGGTTGACTGAAGAAAGAACAAGTGAGGCATGTCCCACCTTGAAGAGCACAACCACACTGCTTTTCTACCTGCATTTCTCACTTTATCTCTGTCTCCATCCCCAGAACAACTAGCCAAATTTAAAATTACATCTATATATACACCGCAAGGGATGTTATAGAAAGCTCCTATATTGTCAAAATACGTTAACACTTTTGACTAAAACTTCAAATGGTTCAAGTGTCCTTCCTTGTGTTTGTGTAGCCAATGACTGATGAAAAAAAAAAAAAGGCCCCACCTTTCTGGGAACACTCCAGCACGAGAGTGAAGGAAAAAAGGAAGACAGATACCTCAACTCACAAAGGAAGTGCTCAAAGTATAAGCTAGAAAAGACAGTGGTACAGTCAGTAACTGACATTCTGTTATGTGCCACAGTATACAAAATGCTACTATAAACAATCATGATTCCACAGGGGATAAAGGTCATGGCTACTGCCTTCAAGCCACTCATTATCTACTAAAGAGATAGAATTCCAAGTACAAGGCCACTGTGAGCAATTAGGAGTAACAGAAACAGAAATGCATCTTAAAAAGCTAATAGAGTTCCATTCCTGCCATGATAATGTGAAGAGCTATATGGACCCACTCCCCAGTGAATTTGTTGAAAATTATTTTAAAAAGAAATAAAAACTACTCATTTAAAATCTCTGAGAATGGTCTGACGGGCTTATAACATACAAAGAAGCATTTATTAAAGGAACTCTACTAAAACTCAGTAAACAAAGTAAGAGTCTATAGTAGCTAGGCCTAGATTCACTCCCTGTATCCCCTTCCCAGCACAAATGTCAGCTCCCAGCTGCAAGGCTTTCCCCCTGAGAGGGTCAGGAAACAGCATTTCTCATCCTGTCCACAGCTACCTGTTGCTGAGGCTAAGTTCCAGAAAAGTGTGGCTGAGAAGTGGGGGCTCCCTCCTTCTACCCAGCGGCCCCCACTCCTGGGATAGAGGCTATGCCTTGGGTGTGGTGCTACTAAGAACACTGAGGCTCCAAATACCCTGGCCCCAGCACTTAGAATGGGAGTTCTACAACAGCAGAGGTAAACCTAGGAGAGATGGAGACTCTACTCAGAGAGAAGTACATCAATGTCCCCATCCCCTGTACTAAAGCTGTGGCTCAGAGATTTAGCCTAGTGGGATAAGTAAGTTATAGAAGACTCCAAATCTTTCCTCAGTGGAAATGATTCCATTTGCAACACAGTGTGGAAAAGTTATTCATGCCTAGGCTGGCTCACATGCTAAAGAGAATCAGGGAAACAGATAGCTGGGAGAAATCATTCTGGGTTCAGAAATCTCAAATACCAATCTTAGGTACTATCCCTTCAAAGGAGCCCTAATGTGATAGGATCAGTCTGTGGAGTGATTTATGCCCCTAGGACATTATTAAAAACAACAGAGCAATCAGCCAGCAATTTGTGGAAACTTGACAAAACCACTATCATCCCAGGGTGACTGTGGGCATACCAAAGGCTGAACCCCTAAGAAGCAACATCAAGACTTCACACTGCAGGGCAAATGCAGGGAGTAAATAGACTTCAATAAAATAATCCAGACAGTCACTATGTTAAAGAAGGAAATAACAATAAAGAGCCTGAGGTGGAGATGCCTATACCCAGAGTTACTGCATTATATTACCTAAAATGTCCAGTTTCCAACAAAAAATATGAGATATGCAAATAGGGAAGTATGACCTATATGCTACCCAAAAAGCAAGTGACAGAAACTGCTTATAAGAACAACCAGATGTCAGATTTAATGGGCAAAGATTTCAAGTTAGCCATGTAAATATGTTACAGAACTAAAGAAAACCATGGTTAAAGAGGCAAAGGAGACCCTAGCCAAGTAGTTCAGTTGCCTAGAGTGCCATCCCTATACGCCAAGGTTGTGGGTTTGATCCCTGGTCAGGGCATATACAAGAAATCAACCAATGAATGCATAAAAAAATGGAATAAGCAACTGATATCTTTCTCTCTCAAAAAAAAAAAAAAGGAAAGGGAGGTAAGAATATCCATAAAGAGAAAATATTAAAAAGAACCAAATGGTAATTCTGGCATTGAAAAGTACAATAACTAAAATAAAAACTTTACTAAAGGGGTTCAACAGTAGATTTGACCCGGCAGAAGAAAGAATTAGTGAACTTGAAATAGATCAATATAAATTATGGAAGCAAAAAAACAGAGAGGGAAAAGATGAAGAAAGATAAACAAAGCTTCACAGAAATGTGGAACACCATTAAGTGCTCCAACATATATGTAATGGGAGCACCAGAAGGAAAGGAGAAAAAAAAAAGCAGGAAAAAATGGCTGAAGGATTCCCAAATTCACTGAAAAACATTAATTTTCACATCCAGGAAGATTGACAAACTCCAAGTAGTTTATAGTACGACCACCACCTGCAAAGAGATCCACAGATACATTATGGTAAAATTGCTGAAAGCCAGACAAGGAGAAAATCTTGAAAGAAGCAAGGGAAAAATGACTCCTTATTTAAAATGGAACCCCAATAAGATTAATAGCTATCTTCTCATTAGAAACAACGTAAGTCAGGAGGCAATAAGATATTCAAAGTGCCCTGTAGTAATGTTTGCACATAGTGAATATATTAAGAAACATGGACTTGTATGCTTTCAAAGGGTAAAATGTATGGCATGTACATTATATCACAATAAAGCTATTTAAAAAACTTACAGGAGACTTCTGACCAAGATGGAGGCATAGGTAGATACACTGTGCCTCCTTGCACAACCAAAAGGACGACAAGAAAATTTAAAAACAAAAAACAACCAGAACTGCCAGAAAATCGAACTGTATGGAAGCCCAACAACCAAGGAGTTAAAGAGAAAACATTCATCCAGACTGGAAGAGGGGCAGAGACCAGCCGCCCCAGCAGAGAGGACTCACAGCAATGCAGCAGCTGGAGGACCAGTGATGGCTGGTAGACCAGGAGACCCCACATTTGGGTGCAGATAAACTGGGAGGAACAAATGGGGAGTGAGACAGACTGCACAAATAGGGTTCTTGAGCAGAAAAATATAGCCTCAAAATATCAGACTGAAAAAACCTTTGGGGGTTATGGAAGCAGGATAAATTCCCAGCCTTACAGGAGAGTTCAATGGAGAGACCCACAGGGACCTAGTATGTACACAACGCCCCCCCCGCCGGGGAATCAGCACCAAAAGGGCCCAATTTGCTTGTGGGTAGTGGAGTGACTGAAAGCCAGCAGAGAGCCAAGCAAATGGCATTATTCCCTCTCGGACCCCTTCCTGATAGAGCCACAATGCAGCAACTTGGGTTGTTCCACCCTGGGGAACACCTAAGGTTCCATCCCTTCCTATGTAACAGGCATGCTGAGACAAAAAAAAAAAAGGCTGAAATGAAAGAAGAGATCAAAGCTCCAGAAAAAATACAACTAAGCAATGAAGAGATAGTCAAACTATCACATGGAGAGTTCAAAAAACTGGTAATCAGGATACTCACAGAAATGATTGAATATGGCCACAAGACAGAGGAAAAAGTGAAGGCTATTATGCAAAGTGAAATAAAGGAAAATGTACAGGGAACCAAGAGTGAAGGGAAGGAAACTGGGATTCAAATCAATGGTTTGGAACAGAAGGAAGAAATAAACAGTCAACCAGAACAGAATGAAAAAACAAGAATTCAAAAAATGAGGAAAGGCTTAGGAACCTCCAAGAAACTTTAAACGTTCCAACATCCCAATCATAGGGGTGCCAGAAGGAGAAGATAAAGAACAAGAAATTGAAAACGTATTTGAAAACATAATGAAGGAGAACTTCCCCAATCTGGTAAAGGAAATAGACTTCCAGGAAGTTCAGGAAGCTCAGAGTCCCAAAGAAGTTGGACCCAAGAAAGCACACACCAAGGCACATCATAATTACATTAGCTAAGATTAAAGAGGAGAGAATCTTAAAAGTAGTAAGAGAAAAGGAGACAGTTATCTACAAAGGAGTTCCCTTAAGACTATCAGCTGATTTCTCAAAAGAAACCCTACAAGCAAGAAGGGGCTGGCAAGAAGTATTAGAAGTCATGAAAGGGAAGGACCTACATCCAAGATGACTCTATCCAGCAAAGCTTTCATTTAGAATGGAGGGCAGATAAAGTGCTTCCCAGATAAGGCCAAGTTAAAGGAGTTCAACATCACCAAGTCCTTATTATATGAAATGTTAAAGGGACTTATCTAAGAAAAAGATGATGATAAAAAATATGAACAATAAAATGACAACAAACTCATCACAACTATCAACAATAGAATCTAAAAACAAAAACAAAAGCAAACTAAGCAAACAACCAGAACAGGAACAGAATCACAGAAATGGAAATCACATGGAGGGTTATCAGTGAGGAGGGGGAGGAGGGAGAATGGGGGAAAATGTACAGGTAATACGAAGCATAAATGGTAGGTACAAAAAAGACAGGGGGAGGTTAAGAACAAAGAACTTATATGTTGACCCATGGATATGAACT